AATGCTTCCTGAAGAATTGCAGCCTCAACCTAATGAATAGAATTCCTATGTGCCAGCCAGTATTTCTGGACACCTCCAGAGGCAATTTTGCCTTAGATGATACATGAAAGAATTGTGTTTTCACTTTCAGGGAAGTAATATATCATGCGTATCTATCAAAAGCAGCATGAGCATTTTAACATGAGAACTGTACCGTAAAATAATGTTCTATCAATCTCCCTCCCACCTGCAAGTTATTACTGGGCTTAGCATGGATGCCGTTTCCATGCAGTTTCCTCCTCCTTATTGGCCTCATGGGAGAATGTTGGTTTTAGTTTACTCTACATTCAGACATATATATGTTTTTTAAATCTATAGAATATATATATTAGGTTTTTCCAATAAAAACTAGGTTCAGATGGTGCAAACAGATTAGAATGTGTAATCTACTGCTACAAGCAATCCCGGGAGTCCAAAATAAGGAATATTTAAAATGGAAGTTTCCTGAAATACACATATTTAAATCCAGATCACTGGGTTGAAACAATTTCAATGGGAAAATGGTTATATTTGATGGATTAGTTTGATTATTCATAAAAGAGCCTTAAATATGATGGCTGATCCTCAAGGTTGCTAACAGAAACCCATGGTACTATTACCAATTAATATCAGTTGTATGCTCACCAAATAACCTGTTGTATTTGTTTTAAAACCACACAGTTGTAATGCACATTTTCACACTGATTGCTGCGATCTGTTGTCAAATTAGTATTCCAGCTCATTTTGTTTGAGCATCAATTTAGGCATGATCAAGCTGTGCTAATACCAGTGCTACAAGCATATACCAATGCTACAACAACAAAAGAAACGGCATGGTACTATCTTAATTGCTTTTCATCTAGGTTAGAAGTGGTGATTGACCAGTGAGATTATTTTTAACCAAATAAATGTCTTTCAATTGATTAAAATATTAATTTGTTTTTAGAATTTCATCATTTGACTTTCTGTGAAAAATTAGGCACAATCTAATAACCTTTTTAAAAAAGTGGCTAAAATAAATCCAGCAATCAGTTGATAATTTAAAAGACTGCAATATATCCCAAAGCAATTGAAAACCCCCAAGCTCCATTGGTGAGTTGGTCTTACAAGCCACTCAAAGTAGCAGATTCCATTGTTCCTGCTCTATTAAAGTACAACAGGAGTCCTAGATGAACGGTCAGGGTCAAATATTAGCAACATTAAATCTGAATTTGTAGAGGAAGCAGATCTCTAACTTCAAGTTCTCTATGTCTCTCACACACTCATGGTGTGTGTGTGTGTGTGTGTTAGAGCAGGCTGTTACCACCTACATTATCAACTAGCAGAAGTGGTTGCTTGTCTGTGATGTAGATGCTACTTGCTTTGGTCTGTAGATGGCAGTAACTTGCCACCGTAATGGCTTGTACCGGCTTTCCTATTTAACTGGTGATTTAAATGCTTTGACTGATAAAACATATAAATTAAACCAACTCATACGGCCAGTGTCTTCCAAGAGACAAGTGTACCGGACTTGGATACGGGAGGCCCAAATTCAAATTTCTGCTCAGCCCTGCTTGGTGGCAAGTTGCAGGCTGTGATCTATCAGCTTCAGTTATTTATCTTTAAAAGATAATGGCAACACTGACTTTCTTCAAAAGGGTTTTCTAAGATAAGATCTATTAAGCACTCTGAAGTTTTGTGGACGAGGAGCTCCTCTTAAGGGAAGATGGAGAAGCGGTGCGCTGAACCTCCCAGGTCACTGCTTTAAAAACCTGACTTTTCTATAGATAATTTTCAGCACTTCAACCAGCTACATTTCATGGTGTATCTATGTCAGAGCTTTCGACCACGTTTTATGTTCTGTTGAAGTGGAGTTTCACTGTTATCGTTTCACTTCTTATCTCATTCCTGCACTTTGTCCCTCACTGTTCCGAGAGGTGCTTTTGTAAAGCACCGTACTCTAATTTTATCAATTTTAATATGCTCCTGGATCACATGACAGCTATAAGTGGGCTCACACTGCCTACCAGAAGCATTTGGGTAAAAAGTAGATTTGATCATTGCGTTCTGTGGAAGCACTACTCTGCAAGACCCAGACAGAAGGGAGAAGACAGGCCCCAAACTGAGCATAGGAAGCTGCCCACCATCTTAATGACTCTTCTTTTTTCTGTCTTGGCAGAAATATCGCCTACATTACCCCCGCCTGAGATCTCAAACTTTCATCTGTTTAAGCTTCATTCCTGAGAAGCAGCATTATGATGAAAAATGATGCCCATTGCTTTTTCGTATTGACTGAAATGCCTTACCTGTAAGGGGAAACATAGGACTTAACATCTTCCAGTGAATCCATTGTGTTGAATGTAGGATGCAAAGCATAAGCTAGCATTTAATTTGTATCAAGAAAATGCACAGCAAGTCCTTGAAAGTTCAGGTAGATCATTGTTACCTATTAGTGAAGTGTCTGTCAGGATGATGGACTGGGAGACAATGCCTGTTACCTTCTGCTTGCTGTTGGGTATGAAAAAAAGCAAATTTCAACCTGGTTTTCTCAGGGAACAATTGCTCCTGTTCCTCCCTTGTCTTGCACTAGTGGCAGGTGTATCCTGATCTGTATACTGTCCCCTAGAGGGAATTTAGGGAGAGTAATAATAATAATAGTAATAATTTAAATGAGGATGTCATCATCAGCATCATAAACTTTTATTTCACTAACCAAAGGCCATGGTATCACGCATAAACATCAACAGTTGCTACACATATAGTAAAACCACAGTCAAATCTATGAAAATTTTTTGTTATACTTTATAACTTACAAAGTCATTGGCATCGCTTAGCAGCCATTTCACCCTCTTCCCTTGTCTTTCAATCTTGTGAAGGGAATCCTCAGCCTTCTACACACACACACACACACACACACACACACAGACACACACACACACTGGCAACAGGTTCCACAGATTCCATAAGGTAAAGGTAAAGGTACCCCTGCCCGTATGGGCCAGTCTTGACAGACTCTAGGGTTGTGCGCCCATCTCACTCAAGAGGCCGGGGGCCAGCGCTGTCCGGAGACACTTCCGGGTCACGTGGCCAGCGTGACAAAGCTGCATCTGGCGAGCCAGCGCAGCACACGGAAACGCCGTTTACCTTCCCGCTAGTAAGCGGTCCCTATTTATCTACTTGCACCCGGGAGTGCTTTCGAACTGCTAGGTTGGCAGGCGCTGGGACCAAACAACGGGAGCGCACCCCGCCGCGGGGATTCGAACCGCCGACCTTTCGATCAGCAAGCCCTAGGCGCTGAGGCTTTTACCCACAGCGCCACCCGTGTCCCTACAGATTGACTGAAATGCCTTACCCCTACAGATTCCATAGGAGTCCTTTAAATGCTAAGATCTTGCTTGTTGTTCCACTGTTACACCTTGTTGATGACTTCAAGATCAGCAATGTTTTGTGTTCATTTTAATAGGTTTGATAATAGTTATTTTTTACGTCTCTTGGATGCATACTGTTGTTTATCCATAATGCTGCTTGTATAAAGATGCCAAGAAGTGCTTGCTCAATTTCACACATGGGTAATTGTGGATTGTGAATGCAATCCATTACCCAATTAATACAGATAAACTGGCAAAAGGAAATGGATTCAAAGGTGCTTTCGATGTGTATTTCCAAAAATGTATTATGCTGTTTCTTTCCCATGCACTAGAATCCAGGGCTGCGGGGGGAAAGTAAAGCTTAATCTCATAATGTTCTTCTACTTGTGGCAATAACTTGCACAATCTCTTTCTCACACCTTCCTGCACCCCCTTCTGCTTTTGAGAGTCTCCTGGTGGGGCAGGGAAGCATCTCTGACAGTTTTCAATTGGTGTCTTCCGTTAGTGGAAACACACCAATTAGATTCCTCCCCATATCCCTCAATTTTCTCGCCATCCATACCCAGTTTATTCTTTGCTCTTTTATACTTTTACTTCCAATTATTACTTAACATTCAGATTCTTATTGTCCAAGTTCCATTGCATTTGATGCACACTCTTCATGAGAGGCTAGTCCTGACTGGGGCTTTCTATTTTTATCACAGAGATCAACAACATTAATCAAGTTGAAAAGATTTATAGTAAATTAGTCTGTTCATAGAGGTTTTGACCTCTGCTTCATGGCACCTAAATCCCTGGCTGAAAATATTTTCTCCACAGCCTGCTGTGTGGTTTCTCTTATTAATTGTACACTTTCAAAATGTTTTGTAGCACTAAGTGTAGCCATAAACTTCAAATGAAGCAGAGAAGAAATTCCATCATTCTGAACCTGACAGGGGATTATACCTTCTTTTGTAGTGTCTTTTATTTTAGCCTTGTGTGTGTAGCTTTCAGTATAGAAAAAAATCCTATGTTGAAGGCTATGTGACAATAGACAATTGTGGGTTATTGTTGTTTTGAAAGGTCTGTTTGAATTATAATTTGGTTTTTATTGGCATACATTTCTAATTACTGCTTGATTTCAGGTGATAAGTCAGATCTTAAAATGTACCTCCCTAAGAAGCTTGCAAAACTTGTGTTGTGATGTATTGTCTACTACACAACTCCATCATCATTGAGCATCGTTGTAATTGGTGGACGGAGACTAAAATGCTAGCAACATTGTGACAGATGCTATGTACTCTGTTGCCTCCTCTTATTGTTCTTGATGTGCTTTTGGTGTCACTGCTAGGGAAGCACAGGATCTGAGCAAGCTACCCTGCTGTAACCTCTGGCATAGTGGCAACCATCTTAACCGTGTTACAGGATCGTGTGTAAATTAAGTGGTTTCCAGCTTCATCAGCATGAAGCAAGATGGAAGAGTACCATCATCACACATGCTGCAGCTATGGTAAAATTGCCTAGCAGTTAAATTTACGCTTTGAGGGTTTTCTGTTGATACCTGTGATTGGGGGCAGAAATTGAATGGCTCCTTTAAACGATCCTTGGGTACAGTGCTCCTTTTACTACTACTCCCACCCCCCCAATGTTTTTCAGGAAATCCTGGAGAATTCCTTGAGCCAGGAGTTCACTGTGGAGAATGTGCTTGCGACGCTTCCAGCCTTCCCCAAGGGTGCCCCTCAGCAACGTGCTAAAAGGGCAGCGGAAGCCCTGGTAAAGGCTCAAAATTATTCCAGGCAAATGGCAATGCAACAGGTGAGGAAATGGGGGAGTTTATTTCAGTTTAACATCCTCTCCCTCCGCCCTTCTTTTTAACAGATTTGACCTACTTTGCAGTCACTGGTCAATTTCCCCCTTGTACAAACCTTATCGCACAGCTAATGTATAAAGGTTAGAATTCTTTTGTTGAGTGGCTGTGCAGGCATTAGTCTCACTTCCTGCTGGCAAGGCCACTTTTTGTGGGTTTGTACAATGGGAGCTTATGAATGCTTCTATTCATGGCCAGCTCCTGAGGCACACAGAAAAATAGCCAGCCATTCCTTTAAAACAGAAACTTAAATATGATTTGGAGGTTTTCTCGTTCTTTCTTCCCACTTCAGGAACCAAAGAGCTGTATTAAAACAAGCAGGAAGGAGCTTGAAAACTTCCATGGAACAAAAGGCAAAAGTTCACAAGGAAGTATCTTATGTTTCCCAACGTGAAGACAATTCCTGTTCTTACCTATATATATATTTCAGAAAACTTAGCTTAACATGTCAAGTTCTGCTAAATCATAATAGGCTAATAACAGCATTTATGTAGAAGTTTGGTAGGAGGACAAATGTTTTCTTTAAAATTTCCCATTTTCCAAGTAATGGATCTCCAGTTATGATTTTGCCCGTTCACATGTTCTATTCTGATTTTTAAATGCTGCTCAGGCTAGAATTTAGACTTCTCAATCTAGAACTTATCCCTTTGGGTCTCTACCAGATGTCTGACAATTTAATGGACCTCTTTGAGGCAGGGATCTATTAGTGGGTCTTCTTTGATTGTCTGGCTTAAGGCTGCTCCAGATCATTGGTGGGAATCTATCCAAAATACAGGCTACAATCCAAAAGACTAACATGCACATATTGCAGGAGCTGTGTGGGCAGCTTGAGCTTTCGCTGATTCTGTTGTACTTCATTCTGCTGAAGAGACAAGCTGCTTGTCTCTAGCAGCAGGATCTGCTGTGGTAATGCTAGCAAACAAAGCTCCAGCAATAAGTATACTTCTCCAATCTGTGTATCATGCCTTTAAATCATAGCCATTCATTTTTTTTCTTTGACAAGTGAAGCTTTAATTAAGTATGAATCATGCCGTGCTGACTTTTCTTTTGGGGTGTGTATGTGCGAAAGGAAGTTCTCCAAACTGCGTTCTAGTTCCATGTCAGAAAGAAATGTTACACTCTAGCTGATGGAAACATTTAACACTTGAGTGTGAGAGACCATTCTTTTTTTAAAAAAATTGGGAAGGCTCTTAATTTTTTATTTAGATTTTAAATTTCTATTAGATTTTCATAACATAATTTCAGACTTCAAATTTGTTATACATTTCTCTAATACTCTGACTTCCCACAGCCAATCAGAAGCCGCCCTTCCCACAGCCAATCAGAAGCTGCGCTTTGGTTTCCAAACGTTTTAGAAGTTGAACGGACTTCCGGAACGGATTCCATTCGACTTCCAAGGCATGACTGTATTCCTCTGTTACACGACACATTTCATCTAATATATATTCCTCTATTCATATATTATCATTTCTTCCCATTGCTCACATTTCAAATGCTGCCCACGATTTTGTTTGGTTGTTACATATTTTTTCAAATAAGCCAAAAATTCCACTCTTCCATAAATTGTCCATCATGTTGATCTCTTATTCTTGCCGTTAGCTCTGCATAGCCCATTGATTTTAGGAGCTATTCTTCTTTGTTGGACTTCTTTCCAGTTTTGTGCATGGGAAGGCTTGTTCTTAATGGCATAAGTAGATCAAGGAATTCCAGTCCTCTCTATTTAAGTTAATTAAGGTTAGTAGTCTTCATTTGTGTTGAACAGGGAGAACCATAAGCCAATTTTAGAGCTCATGCGATGTAAGAAAGGTCTTAAGTTCAGTCCTTGGCATTTCCAGATAAAAGAGTAGGATTGAGAAGAATCTCTGCCTGACAACCTGGAAAACTACTTCCTGTCTCGGGAGAAACAGTTACTGTCAGAGACGGCCCCCAGGTCTCAGCTCACAGAAGACCAACGCTAGCCAGCAGAACTGTACAAAGTCTTTATTGAAGTTTAGTTCCCATTTTCAAACCCTAGCGTGCGTCTCTACGTCTAGACCCTAGACCAGCGAAGCCTCGTCTGAGTCTCCGCCCCCTGTACACCAGTTTAAGACTCTAGCCTTACTCCACCTTCTTCGTTTCTCCTTCCGCCTCTGGGTCCTACTACCCCCCTGAGTGCCTTCTTTCCTGGACGCTTCGGAAGCGGACCCTTCGGACTCCTCCCCCTCTCTTCGACGGGCTTTGGGACCCGGCTCCCTTTCCGGGCTGCTCATCGCGCCACCCTCTTGTACATTTGAACTTGGCGCGCGCGCGCTGCCCCTGACCTTCCTTTTGACCGTTTCCTCGCTCTCTGATGCAGGCGTGGCTAACCCTGACTCATGTCCTTCCGCTGACGGAAAGCTGCCTGCTGCCGATGCTTGGGACTCCTCCCCCTTACTGCTCTCCGGTGGGGAAGCTGGTCCCGATTTCCAGCTGCTGCTCTCTGAGTCCCCTCTGGCCCCTCCTTCCTGGGGTGTTCCCTCTGGCAACCCCCTAGCTCTGACCACGGGAGCCCCTTTCTGTGAATCCTCTGATTCGCTGGAGAGACTTAGAGACCTCGGACGGCTATCCTCGCTGACCTCTCCCTCGGATTCCTCTCCCTCGGTCTCAACTTCCTCCCTCTCCTGTCCCTCTGCTCCTGAACCCCTGACATCCATCCCCCCCTCGAAGCCCCCCCTTCCCCCCTCCCCTCCTTCCGGTGTGGGTACTGGGTGCTCCGTCGTAGCGGGGGTGCGTGCAGGATACAGTTCATCCCCCATGTATTCGTCGACTTCGCTCTCCTCTGCTTCCATGTCTCTGCCTCCGTGTTCGAACCCCACGTCCTCCCCCAACACGTCCATGTCCGTCTCGCCCCCGTTCCCCTCTGAGGGTGATGCCTGCCAAGGACCCCCCAGCCACTTCCTGCGCCACTGCTCCTCTGGTCGATCGTCCCACCAATAAGAGCGGTCTGAGGCAGACCCCGAGGGTGATCCCTCCGGGGAGCGTGTGTCAGGTGCCGGTTCCTCGTCCGAGGCGAACCCCTGGAATGTGCTGGCTGAAAGTGTGGGTGTGAAGAGCCAGTCGTCGAAATACTCAGCTGGCATGGGCCTGTGTGGGAAAAGGGCATGAAATTCTTCCTTGAGCAGCGGCTCCTCCAAGGCATAGTCCGGTACCCAGCTGTTGGCACTGGCCGGGGTACCCTCCCTGGCTAGGAGATATTCTACCCCCTCTTCCCCCCATCTCGAGTCTAAAATCTCTGTGACCTCGTTGATGTGCACCCTCCTTGGCGACCCCCCCTTTCTGGGCCCTTCTCTGAGCGGGTCTGGTGCTGTGTCTGGCTCCTGAAATCTATGAGGTGCTTTGTAGGGCGTGAGCACCGATCTATGGAACACCGGATGCATTCTGGAACCCTCCGGAAGAGCCAACCGGAAGGCCACTGGATTGACCTGAGCCTGGACTTGGTAAGGTCCTAGCTGCTTATGTCCTAGCTTCTTCTTCGCTAACGATCTGGTCGGCACTGCTTGCGCTGCTAACCAGACCCAGTCTCCCACCTGGATGTCTTCCCCAACTCTTCTGTGTCTGTCGGCCTGCACTTTGTATGCGTGCTTTGCTAGTTCTAACTGCCTCCTGAGTTGTTCGTGGACTTCCTGCAACTCAGACGCTAAGGCTTCCGCTGCCTGTGGCTCCCCCTCCCCCACTCTCTCTAAACCCGGGAAGGTTCTGGGATGCCTCCCGTTGTTGGCGAAGAACGGCGTCACCCCCGTCGACACGTGCTTCGTATTGTTGTAAGCGAACTCGGCGAGTGGCAGGTAGTCCACCCATGTCGTGGGCTGCTGATTGGCGTAGCATCTCAGGTACTGCTGCATGATGGCGTTGACCCTCTCCGCTTGCCCGTTGGTCTGTGGGTGTCTCGCCGACGCTAAATTGACTTTGACGTTCAGAAAGCCCATCAGCTTCTGCCAGAAGTTCGAGATGAACTGTCGCCCCCGGTCGGAGAGAATAGACCGTGGCAGACCGTGGACTTTGAACACGTGGTCGATGAACAGTTTGGCGGTCTGCTCTGCCGTGGCTACCTTCGCACACGGAATGAAGTGTGCCATTTTAGTAAACATGTCCACCACCACTAGCACTGCTGTCTTTCCCCTCGAGCTGGGCAGATCCGTGACGAAGTCCAGGGCCACCCTCTCCCACGGTTCAGACGGTGTCTGCAGCGGTTCCAGCAGTCCCGCCGGCGGTTTGTGAACTGACTTGGCCCTTTGGCAGGTGTCACATCTCGAGACATAATCCGCTACTTCCCCCCGCATCTTGGGCCACCAAAAGTCTCTGGCTACTAGTTCGACAGTCTTTTCTTTGCCAAAGTGCCCGGCGGTGGGAGCGTCGTGTAGCTGCTGCAGGACCCTTGCGCGGAGGTCGTCTCCCGGCACGTAGAGTGCTCCCTTGTGGAGGAGCAACCCATCGCGTATCTGGAACTCGTCGGTCCTCGCTGTGCCCCTGTGCACCTCCTCCATCTTGGCCTGTGCGAAGGGGTCTTCCCGCAGCGCGCGACGTACGGCGTCCAGGTCCACGGTTGCCGACGCGCATGCCCACGCTTCCGGTGCGAAAATGTGCTTGGCCGCCGACGGTGCCGCCTCCTCAAGGTATTGCGGCTTTCTGGACAATGCATCCGCCATCACGTTGTTGTCGCCTGGAATGTACTCTATCTTGAAGTCGAAGTCCGCGAAGAACTCTGCCCATCTAATGTGTCTCTGGTTGAGGAACCTAGCCGTGCGCCAGTACTCCAGATTCTTGTGGTCCGTGTGGACCTGCACTGTATGTCTGGCTCCGATGAGGAAGTGCCTCCATGCCTTGAATGCTGCATGTATGGCTAGCAACTCCCTGTCCCAGATAGTGTAATTCTGCTCCGACTTGCTGAGCTTCCTCGAGTAGAAAGCGCACGGCCTCCAGTCCCCCTGCT